ATGATTCTATGATTCTAAATGCAGAGCTTTTCGTTTTCATTGAAACAATATTTGACTTTCATTCTTCCTCTGAATTTCAGAGAAATGGCAGTGATTTTGCATTAAACATTACAAGTATGACTTCCATTCTAAATGACATGGAATACTAATGCAACTGGAAAGTGGTATGTTTAACAATGCTGTAAAATTAATGGGTTGAAGTGATGTCTGTGAAAAACACTATGTGTCCCTATCCATTTTTGTTGTCTTTTCTGTGAGGATAGCTTAAGAAAAGTCAGTAGTAACTGTGGTGGGGTTAGTGTTAAAAAGTATCTGTATCATTTTAACCAGTAAAAGTGTAAAATCCCTGAATCTACAGTTAAGATGTTTCTGGTTAGAAAGTAGTATTTTTTTACAAATGTTTATGTAGACCATAACAGCACTAAGGTAGGTTTCTGTGTGTATCTTGAACTAGCCTGCCAAGGAAACAGGGAGTGGTGGTGAGGATGGTACTGAACTGCTTGTTTCTGCTACCATATGAACTTTTCCAGAATTCAGTGTCATTGGAGTTTCTTAAAATATAAATATTACCATAAGCTTGTAGTGATTATTGTTCATGATTTATATTATGGGGCTCATAAACTGTTTTCGCTTGTATACTTTTATTGCTGCTTGCTTCCAGCTGCGAATGTCCATAGAAGGATACATTCATCTACTTGAGCAAAGCTGTGCAAGTGTACCGCTGTTTGGGAATCTTTTGAAAAATCAGTCTCTATTATCTCTTTCAGAATCTTATCTGTTCAGAGTGTGGAGATGAATTTACTTTACAGAGTCAGCTGTCCATACACATGGAAGAACATCGTCAAGAATTGGCAGGCAGTAGGATCCACAGCTGCAAGTCTTGCAAAAAGGAATTTGAAACTTCCTCACAGCTAAAGGAGCATATGAAAACTCACTATAAAATAAGGTGACAATGACAGGATTGTAACAAAATGAGCAGATGTTACTTTTATGGTGATAGCTGGGGGAAACAAGAGTAGCATTTCCAGTCAGCAAAGTACCATGATCTATGCAGATCATTTCTTTTCTTTGGTATGCTGTTATGAAATGGCATTTGTTTTTTAAAACCTTGCTAAAGTAGGTGGTTATATTTGGAGGCCTTTTTCTTGTGCTGTTTTCGTATTTAGGCACCTATGCTAAGCATAGTTGCGTCTGCTAGCTATTTGTAAACACAGGCAAAGTTTTTCTGATATAGAGTGCTTTTTGAAGTGTGTTTGTGTGTGATTTTAAAGGCTAATGACAGTACATTGAAGAAAATGTATACTAATTTTACGTAGCAGTTATTGTAATTGCAAAAATCCTAATACTTACCTTCTGCAAAGAAATAAGTTGTTCTTGCAGTTTAATCGTCTTTTGCAAGTAGCCCTCACCACAACCTGCTGTGAGTTTCTTGTAAATCTGAGAAAGCACAAAATGATGGGGAAAAAACGGACTTAAATGCTGTTCCTACTTTCAGTGAAAATTTGTTCTGCCCTTTCTTTCAGCTCTCTAGTTTAACTTCACTTTTAGGAAGGTGAAATTTACTTTTAAGTTAGAAGGAAGAAAAACTTACTTCTGTTGGTTTAGTTTATACATTAAGAAAGCCTAAGGTTTATGACAGGTGGTCTCTCTTTTAATCTTTATTCTGTTTCTGTAAAAAACAGATGGGAAAAACATATTTAAAAATGAGAAATATTGGGTATTTCCAATTACTTTTATTAGCAGATGATGCAGGTTGTGAGATCTTAATAGTTGTGTTCCAGAAGGTTTAAAAAAGTATTGTTGTAGATTTCCATTTGCAAACTGAAAATTGAGGTAAAGTTGTTATGTTTCTATTGAGTTATATAATATTATACACAAAAAACTTCCTTGTTGTGGACATCTCCTGTGTAAGTTAGGATGAATAAATAAAGAATGGATGAATGACTCTGATATGGCTGTGATTTTGAGAGAGTATTATGCATGCTACATTCTGATACAAATGAAATATAAGTGCTCCACAAAAATTTATCTTTATTCTCATAAACATGGATTATTTCTGGATTCAGAGCTTCCTTAAATAAGATTCACCTTATTTATCAGTTCAGATGTAGAAACATGTTGCATTTGTATTCAAGAAACTACTGTCTGTAAGGGTGCTTTACTGTCCTTTCACCAGCAGTACCAGTAGAATCCATGTATGTGAGCCAGGTTAATGAATTGCATAAGTTGTCCTGCTCCACCTTCTGTGTTTCAGTAGAAGTAGTTTTGAAAGGAAAACATGGACATTCTGATTTTTTTTAATTTATTATTTGACACAATCCTCTCATATTGTTCCGATGACTTATGAAAAGTTAACATTTGACCTAATCTGTTTGACTATATATAAAGTTCAAAGACATACACCAATAGTTAAAAATCTTACTCTATGATTCCTGCTTTTCATTGTAAAATAAGCTTAAAAAAATTTTTAGGATTTAAAATCATGAAGAGCCTTGTTCCCTTAAGTTTTTTTCATAAAATGGTTGCACTTTTCCGTCCCAATAAGGTTGGGACTTTTGAATGGAAACTATTGCAAACATTTGAATGGAAAACTATTATGAAGTTATAATTTAAATATAGTATCTACCTTTTGCTAAAAAGAACATGGTCATTATAACTCTAAATGAGGGAATATTTTAGAAGGTGGTCTGATCTGTCCCTGCGGTTATCTCCAAATTGGCTATTATTTCTTTTATTAAAATGCCACAGCTATAGTTGAAAGAGATGATGTTGCTCATCAGAGAGTATTTTCTGACAGTCAGGCTGGTCTAGATCTGTCCTGAGATGGAAAGAAGAAGAGGTTCTAATATCTGTGCTGTTCAGTGTCCTACTCTTCAGTCTTCAGTCAATTTTACTCTGGATACTTCAGTAAATTTTGATAGATACAATTAATATGTAAAAGTAAAATATATTACCCAAACTCTGTGCTCGCTTTGCAAGAGTATAAAAAGAGTTTAAAAACACATGTAATATTTGTTTGAAGTAATTGGATGGGAAAATGTGCTTTCCTTCAAATACACACTGAATATCAATGTTCTCTTAAAGTAGAAAGATGCATCATTTGAGCAGAAGTTTAATGATTTCCTGTGTTATGCACGGACTGTTACTCCCCTGCTATTTTTTATATTGTTATACCAACTTGTGTTTCAAGGTGGTGGTGTATTTTGCACATCTGGTCCACGTTAGCTAATTCTTATTTCTCAGTTGCTCAGAAAAACACCAGGTATTTAAAGTTGTATAATTTCAGTTAGCTTTAAGCAGTACTGACAAGCTGGATTACTGCGTAGGTGTAAATACTCGGGCACTATGGAAAATGTGGAGTGCTCTAGATACCATGCTGCCTTCTGGTTTCGCCTTCTTTAGCTGAGTTGTTGTAAATGGTCTTTTAATATCCCCTAAGTTTTCTTTTTTCTTTTTTTTTTCCAGCATAAAATCAGTGGGGTTTTTTTTCCACGTTGCTGTTTTTCAGCAGTCATTTAAACTAATTAGTTTTATTTGTAGAGGAATGAATTATGGGAGCTTATATCATCTGTTACCATGTCTCTGTGGAGACTGTGATTTGTATTTGAGGAGCAGTGGTGAATATTTGGGTTGTTGAATTCTTAACCTGTTTTTGTTAGACCTCAGCAACTGCATTTGTGCTCTACTTCGTGAGATCTTCCTATTCTAGTTAAGAACAAAAGTCTTGCTGTGTTCAGGCAAAAGAAGTAAAGTTGCACAGAGTTGAAAGTTCCTACCAAAATAGTAGTTGTGAAATCACTGTACACTTCTAGCAGAATTTACAGTGAAAATGTCTCTAGAGAACCTCTAAGAAGTATCAATTTTATTACAGAAATAACTGTAAAATTCTTGGTGTTTGTAGGTACTTAGAAAAGTGCTGCATTTACATTGTTCTTTTAGTATCATTAAAGAGTGTGATTTTTAGCTGTTGCAGCTGATACTATACATTGGCATCAAATTTACACTGTATGTTAAAAAATGATGGGGTAAAATCAGCTTCTTCAAAATAATGTTTAATATTAGGATTAAGAGGATTTTATTTAAACTATTTTTTTTTTTTTTTTTAAATGACAGGGTATCAAATACCAGATCTTATAACAGAAATATTGACAGAAGTGGGTTTACCTATTCCTGTCCCCACTGTGGAAAGACGTTCCAGAAGCCGAGTCAGTTAACACGACATGTTAGGATACACACAGGTAAGACTGTGGAAATATTTTTTTTTAGTTTGCATTTGTGAAATGCTAAATATTTTTCTCCCAGTCGGGACTTGAAATAGTATTAATACATCTAGCTCATTAGATGCTGTTTTAAACCTGTTGGTTTAAAACACCCTTTAGGTAATTCCTTTTGCTTATGAAATTTATATGCTTTTAAAAATCTTTTTAACTCTTTCTAATGATATACATCTGGAAATTTTAAGTACTTTACAGATTTTATTTGTTACAGAATACCAGTTTTGGTACTTAAAGTTTCAATGGGCCCTAAAATTGGAATACCTAGATAAGGGCTAGTCAAGGTACTCTAAATAAGATCTTACATACTCTAGAGAATAGGTTCTAAAATTTACAATCACAAAAAGAGTAGAAATACAGGAGAATGAATAATACTACTAATATAGTGGCCTTGTTTGTGTTTTTAGATTCATTTATTTAAATTTACTGCCATATACTTTCTGTACTTAAGTGTAACTGCCATTTTCAGGATGTCCAAAGTGAGCTTGCGAGGTGATAAGCCTAGACTGTAGTTTTGGTACTTGAAGAAGACCAGGTGACTGTTCAGTTTTCCAGAACGAATAGTAGATGGTTTTTGCAAAATTAGTGTAATAAATATGTGCATTTGTTTAACCCTTAAGCAATTGAAATAACTGAAAAATGCTAAGTATAAAATAATACAAAAGTTTTTGAAGTGTACAGAGAACTGTAAGAATAGTTCTCAAGTTTTAGCCAGACATACATAATATAGCATAAGTTTGGCTTTAAACAAAACCTTCATTGAAGGTGCTCAAGTGATCTGCAACATATATGTATTTTCCATCTTGTGTATAAATTGCTGTTTGTCTAGTTTTTAGCTGATTAAAGTAGTAAATTATGTAAGCGTGCAATGTTGTTTGTATTAGCAGTCTGTTCAGACAGAGTTGCCATGTACAAGAATGACTTTGTTTGCCAAGGGAGAAATAAAAATTCTGTTGTGTGACTCTTAGGAATCTTTTTAAGCTTTATAATTTGATTGTAAAACAGTAACGCAAGAGGTCACCCTTGTACCTGCTTTAAAAGTTGCCTCAAAGTAATATCCAAAAAAAGTCATTGAAAATTAACTTTCTTATTTTAGAGTTTTGTATCTATTTGGTACATTATTTTAGCTTATTCTAGTCAGAGTTAAAGAAATGAGATTATAGTTCATTGAGGAGACTTTTCTAAAGCTTCAAAAAGTTCAAGAGCATTTATAGTTCTTTTGAAGAGTAAAAAGACATTTGTCTTTTGGGAAACAGAAAATGTAGCCCCAATATGCACATGATGGTAGGTCATTTTAAGTTCCGAATAGCTAGTGAATATTCATTTAATTTGTGAAGTATGTTATTACTTAAAACCTGCAGACAATCTGTCTGGCGTCCAATTGCTTTAGGTACTGTAAAATACGTAGGAAAGAAGAACTCTGTTTTAAACAATTTAGAATACTTAAGTCTTTAATTGTTAACAGAGCATGTCTGTGCTACATGTACAGCATTACATTAGTGTCTTAATTGCAATACCTTTTTTGTTCATAGCTATTAATTTCAAGCACTTAAACCCTTTGGGAGAGAAAATTCTAACTCTCAGGGACTGCAATTCCCATATTAATAACTAAGTAATGAACCCTCCATTCCCTCTCCCAAATCTGTATTTCATTAAGTTATACTTGAGAAATACAGAAATTCCACATTTCCACACTAGAATTAAGGTTTAGTTTTTATAATGAAATTTACTTAAATAGGCAGATTTAACCTGAAGCAGTACTTCTATGTGTCCACCAGCAACTCTTAGTGGAAGCTAAGCCTTTTACCTGTGAAAGCCCAATATGAATTTTGTCACTGTATTTCAAGAAGATTTGAATCAGTGTTCTGTATTTTAATCTATATTAAAAGATACACAGCTAAAACCCACAGACCTTAAAGCATCTTCAAAAGCTGTAAGCAGCAGGACAGAAAATATACATTCCTTCAGAGTTGATACTGCGAGTTATATGCTTGTAGTCTATTTCAGAAAATAGCTGCTTTTATTTCAAACAATGTGAATTTAATTAAGAATTAATAATTTTAAACTAGGTGTAATTACAGCTATATAATTAGAAGTCATATAAAAATATTCATTAAAACTGCTTTAGCGTGCATAATATTTAGCACATGCTAGTACTTACTGGTGTAGCAGACATAATGTACAGCATGCCTGTAGTGTTTTTGCTATAGAAATGTGCAAAGGCAAAGTGGAGTTACCACAGCTAAGCTGTTTCACTAAAAGAAGAAAAAAGTAATCTGAGTTCACAGTGGAGATTTCCAGTAGTCAGTTAAGACACATGGTTGCAAGAAACTGAACTTTGTTCTTACTATCTGTGTGTTTAAAATATGTAGCTTTGTAATATGTTAATGCAGGTCTAGTCACTTACAATTTCTGGGGAGTTTTTCATGGTTAATCTGTTCATGTACAAATAACTAAGTATGCACAGCACTGAGAACACCAAAATCAGGAAATAGTGACAGAGCATTCCTGAACATCGCCTACATTTTCTTTAAAGTTCAGTAGTAATATGAACATTCCAGGTTTTAAAATTATTTTTTGAGCAGGGCTGTCTCATATAATAAAAACATTATTTCATTGCACGGTTTCAGTAAGTGGTTGTAAAGAATGAATGCCTATTAATATTTACTGGTGAGTGGGAACCATAGGCCATCTTTTGCAGTGTTGCTGTAAGACTTCTTGATTTTAGACTAAATAAAAGGTTCAATTTTGGACTGTTAGTTATTTATTACTGTGCATTCCACCCTCTGCTCCCGGGTTTTTTTTTGTGTAGGTGTATGCATTTTATAGGATTTGGTATAAAAGAATGGCATATGTGTGTTTGGGTTTTTTTTTCTTTTCCTCCAGTAGTTTTGCGTAGCAGCTTCTGAGATCTTCCAAACCACAAGTTGAGGAAAGCTGTTCTAAATAATTGTTTCATGCAAGTTTTATTTATTTTACACATTTTAACTGATCATCATGAGCTAGGTCATAAAACTTTTTCACAAAGCTACATCTTTATCAAAGTAGATGCTGAGATTGGTGGTTGAGGTAAACAGTTTCGTTGTCAAAACACCTAATAATGTATGTTTCTGTGTTTGTGTGTGTGTATGTACAGATATCTATATGCAGTATTTTATTTTAACTGATACAATTTTTCATTTAGATACAGGAAACTTCTAACGTTTATTTAAAGCCCCTTACCGCACATCCTTCTTTTTTTCCTTTTCAGGTGAAAGACCTTTTAAATGCAGTGAATGTGGAAAAGCCTTTAACCAGAAGGGGGCATTGCAGACCCATATGATCAAGCACACTGGTGAAAAACCCCACGCTTGTGCCTTTTGTCCTGCAGCCTTTTCTCAGAAAGGCAATCTTCAGTCACACATACAGAGAGTTCATTCAGAGGTAAATACAATATTCATAAAGTAGTTGGTGCTAATATACTGCTTATTTCATTTTCGGTATTTAAATTATGCTGTTTGCTATTCCTATGCTTTCTGCAGCCAATATAGATTTACTGCTGTAGTATAGATTCTAGTTTGTTGGTTTTACCTGCAAGCTTTCCTAAAATAGCTTAATCTGTATAAATGTGTACTTAGGATAAGTAGCAAAACCTTCATTTACCATTGTCTTTTCAGTACATTGATAGATTAATAAATTATTAATGGGTTTAGGTGTATAAAAATGTACCTGTGTCAGTCTTGGGAGAACGAGGGCTAGAATCAGATGAAAGTAAGCCAAAAGCAGCAAAGCAGAAAATGGTGAAAAATTTCAAGGCCAAACAGCAACCCACTAACTCCATCATAGAGCATACTTGCAGTTTGTCTTTGAAGTCTATATCTTACAGCCTTTTTCAGAGGTTTTTCCGTTACAGGCAGAAGAAAATTACAAAATAAGATAAAAACCATTGTTGTCTCAGACCTCTTTATGCTGATTTTTTCTTCTTTATGACAGAAAATTTTTAATATTCAAAAGGTACTGCTATGATAATGTAATATAATCTTCTGAGCAACATTGGCTATGCAACTTTGTTCAGTAATTTCCATGCTAACTTTAGTATTTAGTGGTTGGAATACCCATAGAAAGAGACCTAGTTTTGTTTTGGAAGGTATAAACTGATAGACTTTATGCTGATTTTTTCTTCTTTATGACAGAAAATTTTTAATATTCAAAAGGTACTGCTATGATAATGTAATATAATCTTCTGAGCAACATTGGCTATGCAACTTTGTTCAGTAATTTCCATGCTAACTTTAGTATTTAGTGGTTGGAATACCCATAGAAAGAGACCTAGTTTTGTTTTGGAAGGTATAAACTGATAGAGGCAGGTTTTTTTCTTTTCTCTTTTTTTTCCTGCATGCAGAACATCTCTGCTCTCACTCTTTTTTTTCCCCGAACTCTGAGATTTGTTTTCTTGTTTTCCATTTTTGTGTTACAATGGTAGATCTTATTTATTGCATTTTTTTACTAAGGATCCTTTTAGTGTGTTAGAGTTTCTTACTTTTCAGATATGGTCCTTCGTTGAATATGTCTTAGTGTTTTGTATTACGCTCAATTGTATTATATTGTATGTTTACATTTCGTATGACTTTGTAACTAGCCTTCCTCACTGATCACAGCTCCCTATATGCTATAGCTTTTGCTATGTAAAAAAAATGCACCAATGTTAATTTCATAATTTACATTGATTTTTTTTCAATATTACAAGATTGTTGGGGATCAAGCCAAAAATATTTTTCACTTTTTTCTCTGTTACTCTGTGTTTCTGTAAGGAGGGGGGAAAAAAAAAAGTTAGTTGTTGGATAAGGGACTTTAAATAAACGCGATCTCTTGATCACATTTTATGCTATGTTTCGTGATCCTGAGCCTATATTTTAGTTAATGCTTTGGATCATTGTTGATTTTTTTTTTTTTCTTTCTTTCTTTCTTTCTATCGCTGTGTTTCATTCAAGATTGCATGCAGAACTCTATTAATTCTTCATTTTATCCTGAGACAGTCACAAAATAACATTACATGTGATAATGAAACAGGTTGATTCTCACTTTATATATCACAGTTTAGTCATACCTGTATTTTATTAGTCAATACCTCTTTCTGAAAGTCTTGTTACAGGTTTAAGCTAGTGTCAGAAAATACAAAATTCCATACTGTGTTGCAAGCAGCATGTTTTCTTTTGACGACTTTGTTGTTCCCTACGTATTGAAAGTACTGCACTGGTTCTTACTGCTATGTGATAGACTGAGGAAGAGGGGGAGGTGAGGATGGTTGGAATCTGCAAATTTGGCTGCTTTAATTATCTCAACTGCTTGGCCTGAAAGTCCCAAACAAGTTCCTGCTGTTTTCTCATCCTGTATGTTCAAATTCAGTTCAAACTGTGTATTAAACTTCCCTGCCCTTCACAGTATTGTTTTTTTGGTGTCGTGGTTTTTTTTTTTTTTTTTCCTATGCAGTCCGTATGGCCTTTGGCCCAAGCTATCTCACCTTCATTCTACTTTGACCCGAAAAATGAATTTTATTTTTTCTTGGTAATTTATAAAAAAATACATTGCAAAAGTAAACAGAAGAGAGCCAAAATCTGAAGATAAATTATCTGCATTTTTCTCTTCATATTTCTGAACTTCCATTTGTATTATGTATGATGTTACTTCTTTAGGCACATCTTAATTGATAAAGTTGCATTTCAGTTTTGCTTCTAAGTGTGTAATGGTAGGAAATTGTAAAGAGGGAAAAGTCTGAGGCCTCATTTGCCAGATGACATTTGTTTTGCTATCTGGTGCTTCCCAATGTTGAGAAGTGGTAATAGGAGATGACAGTCATGCATGTAGATTACAGTTGACTTTATATCCCAGAGATACCAGACTGATTCCATAACTGGATATCAGTAACTTGGAAAAATAAACCATTTTAGCTCTCATAAGCTCATAGTATATTTGTTATGTGGATAAATAATGAGAAATATAAAATTTGGTAGTTTTAGGGAAAATTTACTTTTTTTTTTTTTTATTTTGTTGAAGGTGAAGAATGGCCCTACATACAACTGTACAGAATGTAGCTGTGTCTTCAAAAGCTTGGGTAGTTTAAATACGCATATCAGCAAGATGCACATGAGTGGTCCACAGAATTCTGCAAGCTCTTCAACAGATGTATCTCACGTTACAGCGGTAAGCTTTGCTTGGTATATTGTGAAAATGCCTTTAAGAGTTTAATTAGATCTATATCTTAATTCCAGTAATTCTTCAGATAGGTTAGAACTAAAAGACCTGTAGCTGGTTTTTGTCTTTTTAAAGTCTTGTGTCATTTTTGGAATTGATTTGCATTATTAAATACTGGCAGAATGTAAATTGGCCAAGTATATGCAAAAAAGGATTTACGATTTGAGGGTTTAGATGAAAATACAACATTTTATTCTACAACTAAGTAGAATATAATCCTGGTGCTTATAGATTGTGGGTGGAAGAAAGGTTTCCTCCCCAGATAACATAAAAATAATTATGAAGTTTTGCTGGAACAATGAAATCTGGAACTATTCAAATTATGTATTAGTTTTAACTCATTTTCAGAAATTGTGTATATAATTCTAGTCCATATAAAGACATAGTGGATTCTTCTTCTGAGTATTTCTGATAACTTGTTTTGAATGTTAGCTTCTTATTTGACAGATCATAAAGGAAAAAAGTCTTAGCTTTATTGGAAGCACTGAATGTTGTGAGGTTTTTTTGTTTACCAAGATACAAGAAGCTAAATTTCAGAAAGTGCCTCTGGTTTCATAAGACTCTCTTATTTTTTGAGCTAGTGCATGTTTAATGTGTCATAGTACATTCTTTTTCTTTGAACAGAACTACCTTTTCTACCTTTATCCATTCTGTTTCGCATCATTTCCAACTTGTGCTTTAAAGGTCAATGGATGACAAGTAATATCAGACTTTGAAGAGGAGGGTTAAAATTTGAAGTCTCAATTTCATTATGCAGCTGTATCTTGTTGAAAACAAGTGTTTAGTAGTATTGTTGGAGAACCATTTTTCTTTTTTAGATTTCATAAAGGTTTTTTGTATGGTAGATGCTATTTGTCCTTCAGGTTAACTAAAAGAAAGAAAAGACTCGTGTCTTACTTGCTTGCAAGTCCATATAATCTCTATGTCTTTTTGTTCCAGTCTGCTCTACATACAAGCCTAATCTTAAAAGCAGAATGGAAAAGGATTCCTTCGTACTACTTCATGTTTGCTTTCCCTGTCCAGCTGTGTTTTTCTTGTTTTCGTTTGCTTGAGTATTTTGCATTTGCATTGCATATCGATATTACAGAAGTGTGTTGTTATTATCTTTGCTGCATGCGTACTTCTCTGCTTGCATGAAGGAGGGGAAAAATAAAGAATACCTCCATACAATAGCATAAGCAAAATAGGAGAAAAAAATTTCTTTCTAAAAACAGATGCCAAGAAGTTTAATAAGGAAGAACAAAGATAATAACTGACATGTCAATTGCATATTAAAAGAGTATTACACTTTTTATTTCTGATTTTATATCTGAAACTTCAGAGATTTAATGATTGATTGATTTTTATTGCTATAGGAAGATGGTACATTCTTAGATTAGCGCTAGCATTCTTATATTAGAACTGCCTTCTTCATTCTGCAAAAAACTTGCAGAGCTTCTTTAATTACAAATCTCCAGTATAATAATTCTGTTCTGAAGTTTGCAATCAGTCTCTGTCATCCCTTGTTATACACCTGGGGATGAACAATGATTATGTCCTTAATACAACAAGTTCCAAAAGTTGAAGTCTCCTTAATGCTGTGCTACCACAGAGCGCATTCTTGTGTGATACATGAGTACATCTTGTAAAATATGCTTACTGTAAGGTTGTTATTTGTCTTTTGCTGCATCAGTGCTTATAGCTAAGGTATTGGTTTCTGTAACTTGTGTTTATTTAATGTATATAAACTATGAAGCAACATTAGTGATTCTAGGTACTATTGTAGCTCTCCCGTAGTCTCATTTTTTCTGTCCCTAGTCTCCATACTGTGGGAAAATGAATGGTGCTACTTTTATGTGTGATATTAGCCATGTTTTTCTTTTTGTACAAAGGCTTAAAATACTTTATTTTCATTTCTTTGTAGGACTCTGTCACTCAGCCTTTAACAACATCCCCTGCTAATCTTTTGCAAACTGTTGATAACAAATGGAAGAATGTAAGTGTACAGTTTTTGTCATATTTTTGTGTCAAGACTGAAAGTGGGAGAAACATTCTACAATTTTGTAAGCTTTCATTTAACTGGTGGAAAAGGATATGCAGCGGTCCTCTGTGATAAGTTGATCAGCTAATATGTGAAGGCAGACTTCTTGGTGAATGCAGCTGGCTGTTTGCGAATGGAACAGGTCTTGAACAGATTATATTCCTTCATTTGTGATACAGTCATGATTTTGCACATAATTCTGTTCATTAGGTCTTCAAAATGGAGGCAAATATTCTCCTGTATAAAAAGAGGAGAGTAAGGCCTGTCATAAATACCGGATTATCCTGCCCCTCTGACTTTACTTCACAGGGATACTATGGTTTGGGTGGAGAGGGAAGGAGCTCTGTTGGTGCTGTTTGAGTTGGTTGGAATTGGGGCAGCAGGGGAACCGTGGGGCTCAGCAGGAGCCCATGGAGCCGCGGAAGGGTGATGCAGGGCTGCCTTGCTGGAGCCCCATAGCAAGCAGTCTTGATGTACAGGCGGGCAGCCTTGATGTGCCAGTCACAGTGAGAGCATTAGCGTGTTTTGTTGCAGCTATGTAGCATGTTGTTTGTCAGCTATAGGTTGCAGCATGGTGTCTTAGTGACAGACTAATTTGACTTGCATTCCCCTCTTCCCAACTTCAGCCACTGATTATCTTCTCATGTACTAGAGTCCACAAAACCAAGGACTAGGAAATGTTGCAGAATTGCTTTAAAGTCACCATACCCAGTCTATCCACTTTCTTTTTACCTTTTACTGTGAATTCAGTGTTCCAGGACCAGTTAACTTAAAGCTGAACAGAACTGACGTGAACTAATTTATTACTAATATTTACTGTATTAATGTCGTGGTTTAATCCCAGCCAACAACTAAGCCCCACACAGCTGCTCGCTCACTCTCCCCGGTGGGATGGGGGAGAGAATCAGAAGAGTAAAAGTGAGAAAATTCACGGGTTGAGATAAAGACAGTTTAATAGGGAAAGCAAAAGCTGCGCACGCAGCAAAGCAAAACAAGGAATTCATTCACTGCTTCCCATCGGCAGGCAGGTCTTCAGCCATCTCCAGGAAAGCAGGGCTCCTGCTCACGTGTAACGGTTACTTGGGAAGACAAATGCCATCACTCTGAATGTCCCCCCTTCCATCTTCTTCCCCCAGCTTTATATGCTGAGCGTGATGCCATATGGTATGGAATATCCCTTTGGTCAGTTGGGGTCAGCTGTCCTGGCTGTGTCCTCTCCCAGCTTCTTGTGCACCCCCAGCCTACTCGCTGGTGGGGTGGGGTGAGAAGCAGAAAAGGCCTTGACTCTGTGTAAGCACTGCTCAGCAGTAACTAAAACATCCCTGTGTTATCAACACCGTTTTCAGCACAAATCCAAAGCATAGCCCCATACTAGCTCCTGTGAAGAAAATTAACTCTATCCCACCCAAAACCAGCACAATTAAATAAATAGTTATACCGTGTTTCTTATCAGACTTTTACAAGTATTAAAAATGGCTGTTCTTCAGAAGCAGTTTATTTTAAGTAAATTTTTAGTATTTCATAGTAAATATTTCATTTTTTTAACCAATTGAAATTATTTTCCGTGGTAAGGAGTGATATCAGAGGTGATGCCTGGTTTTTAGGAGGGGCTGTGTGTGTGTGTGAAAGCACAGGTCTGAAAAGAAGATAATCATCAATTGTGCCACATTGTGTGGTTCCCTGTACTTGATGCAGTGTGCCAGGTTTTTCCCCAGTGAGAGGTGCCAGTTGGGAGCAATGGATCCCATTGCCCCCTTCTCCCAGAGTTGCCTGGTGCTCTTGGCTACCAAGTGGGAGAACCGGTCCAGTTCCATCCTTAGTCTGTGTCCTCAAACCTGTTTCTTCTCCTGAGAATGGCTGAGCCACCAAGCAGTTTCAGTGTGAAGCTTTACGAGTCAACTTCAGCTTACGTGTAGTGGATCTAGGAAACCAAGCAAGGAGAAGCCTGACTTTCTAGTCTAGCAGTTAGAGCAGAAACCTGAATTCTCCTTCCCCTTGCTAGGGTACCTTCTATTTTTACAGTAGTAACTGTATACTGTAACATGTATGGGAATCTTCTGGAAAAGGAATGCATGGCATCACCTCAAAACTAATGCAGACAGACCTCGATGCTAAGGTGAATCAGTGGCAATTTTGTTATGTGTTTTCAGATATTCCTCCTTTGTACTGTCTCTTGTTTCCGTGCCTTCAGATGCACAGCCTGCCTGTTTATGTTCAGTTGCTGTTCATTTGTTGAACTAGGATATATGCTCAGATTCCTCCATGGGACTGTACCATGTATCACACATGGTTTTAAGAAAATGTATAGGTACTTTTCTTTTATGTAATGTTAGCTTTTTGGTAAGTAGAGCTAGTTGCATCCTTAATGATTCTTCCTTTTCCTTCTTGTAATGGATGTGATAAAAAGCAGCGATATATTTTGTATTTTCAAATAGAATGACATACTAAAATTAATGTGAGGCACCATGAGTGATTTTTAAAACTTTCTGAGAGAACTTGTAAAAGAGGTAAGCAGGGAATCACCACTGTTACTGTGTTTCTGATGGAGTCCCTTGGAAATTAATTCTTGACCCTACACTACTTAATATTTTGTCAGTGACCTGGAAGAAAATATAAAATCATCACGGATCAGGATGATACAAAGATTGAGGTAATCTATGAAGAGGACAAAATCACTGATACAGAGTCATCTGGATTTCTTGATGAGCTGGGTGTAGCAAGCAATATATGTTCTGATATGGCCAAGAATAAAGTCACATATAGAACAGGAAAAGTAGGCCATATTCACAGGATAGGAGTTTTCAAGGATTTTAAATTCCCCTTATAAGTAGGGATGGAAGAGGTAATAATTGATTTATCAGCTAAAAGTTAGGTTTTCCTTGTCTGGAAAGATTAGTTTTGGTCTCTTTATGTAGAGGAAAAAACTTCGCATAGAAATGAAAGCTTGTATGTCCTTTGTATTTCATTATGGGAATTTTTGCTTTTGTCGGTTGTCTGTTTATAATGTTCACTATTCATGAACTGTATTCAAAGATACAGGAGGAAGCAGAGCCATCAGAATTCTTAAAGTATGATATGATGTGTTTTATTATTGAAGAGATTCAAGGCGTGTTATCTATTTTGCCCATCAGATAAAATATTTAAGGATGACTTGATCTGCTGTTTTGAAGAAAAGGGAAAAATCTGTAAAGTCTTTAATAGAGAAGAGAAAAAAGTTTTGAGGGTTGAAGCTAGACAAATTCACACTTTGAAATAAAGTATGGAATTTTAGTGTGGATAATTTACTGTTGGAGCAACTTTTTGAAGTTGAATAGCAACAGAAAAAGTTACCACAATAAATTAATATTGTGGTATATATAATTAAAAAATAAATCTTGATTTAAAGAACTGTTATAATTTCTGTATAGTTGAGTTACTTGAAGGAGTAATTCACTCAGAGCAGTCACATGGTCTGTGTTACACAGCAGATCAGACAGACTAAGGGTGATCACAAGGTCCACTATTCTAATTGAACAAATGTGGAATTATGAAGTAGTAATAAAACACTTCATTATCTATGCTATTTTTAAAATCAGTTATTGAAGTGAGACTTACAAAGAGACCTCTGAAACTTTTTATAGTGAACAGGGTATCTTAATAGTAGTGGTAACAAACTTTATACGCGTGCATATGTATATATTATTTTTCAGAAAAAATAACCTCCATGAGACTGTATATAAACTGCTGTATAATACATGAACACACTGGCTAAATACATGTAATACTGTAATTTTCATGTCAAAGATGATGTTGAGCAGTTCCTTCATTAACAATTCTTTTTTCTCCTGCTAAGGCATGGGAGAATTTCATAGACTTTTTAGTGTAGGCTTTCCACTCTACTGAAGAGCTTCCCTGCATTCTGTTTCAAAAAGTGAATTATCTTTATATAGAGCTGTTATGCACTTCAGCAAAACACTTTGCTTCAGTTCCTGTTTATTGCAATGAAAATGGCATATAGTGTGTTTTATTTTGTAAGATACGTATTGAAATGTTTATAGCACTTTTGCTAAATTGGAATCTGAAGAGATGGGGGTTTTCCATCTGTCCCACTGGTGAGATGAAAAAAGATGAACTAATGGTTAAATCAGCAAAACAGCAAGTGCTATTCTCACATGCATGCAAGAGAAATGAGATAAGGGTTTGTTTTATATCGTCTCATGAGAAGGCATTAAGAATACTTCATCAAATCCACAAGACATAACTCGAGTCAAGCTGATTTTTCTTAATATATTTCTTTGTAACCATCCTCAAATACAGTGACAGTGTCATTTTAACTGTTCAGTGTAATGTGAAAGTATAAAGAAAATCTTAGGGGAGTTTTCAGATTGGAAGAAATCTTACACACATGAAGCCTAAGATGATTATTTGTTCAAAATGATTTGAAAGAAGATAGCATTTTTTAGATGTATATATATATGTATGTATGTGTATGTATATATGTTTACGTGTGTGCGTGTGCCTGGAAGTGATTATTTTTAGAGAACAGAAGTGAGTATTAGGAGCAAATATCCAGTGTGTTCTAAGACACAGGATTACGGGGCTAGCCATTATATAAATACATATTTCTCTTTTTTCTGCAGTAAAATAAATGATTGAAAGCAGTTGTTTCAGTAACGGTATACTTAGGCAGTCTATTTATTACAAGGAAGAGAAGTTTATAAATGAAGGAGAATAGGAAGAGTCTTTATTTCTGATTTTTAAAAAGAAATACCAAGGGTTTTTATCATTTTTTTTCTTCATATTTGTTACTAAGGTAGCCTATGATACAATTATCAAATCAAAGATTAAGAAACTTGATTTTTAGACTTTGATTTTTTTTTTAGTGTTTTGACACAGCTCCATGTGTATTTAAATTTTGAGAGTATAAAGAGATTCTTCTAAAGCTAAGAGATTTAGAAGATTGAAAGTTGAAGGGAAAGAAGTTAGTAGTTTGATTGTTCTGAAACATTTTGGTGTAACAACACAAATCTCAACTAATACAAGTTTATTTTTCCAAAGGACTTGCTTTAGTTAAATGTGAACTTTAAAAAGATACCATGTCAGTGCCGTTTATTTGTTTTGGAATTACTTTTCATAGTGGTCTCTACATGTGGAATTCAGTAATTGATCCCTGTGTTTTGTAAACTTGTTGAAGATTCAGTAGATATGATTAAGTTAATTCAAGCTGTAAGCTTACAGTTACGCAGCTTGGGAAGAACTCCAGAAAAGGGATATACAGAAGCAATTCTTTAGTAGAGTGAGCAGACCTTGAATAATAGCTCTGTATAATCCTTGTATCTTATACAAGTGGACATCCTTGTAGTGGACAGTTAACAGACATTTCAGATAAGGGAGCCGAACAAGTGAGTTCATATATACTTTTCATCTTCCTTCCTTTACAAATGTACTGCTGTATATTTCAGGCCACGCATTTTCGGTCTCCACTTCTTCAACAGACAGAAAACCAGGTGTCTTCAGCTCCTGCACATCAAGGTCAGCAGGCTGTAACTGATGTCATCCAGCAGCTTCTTGAGTTATCAGAACCAGGTCCTGTAGAAAATAACCAGCCCCAACAACCTGGTCAACAACTCAACATTGCAGTGGGAATCAATAGAGATATTTTGCAGGTAAGAGCTGTGTGTGAGAAGAGCTTTACATTTCAGTGGTTTCTTTCTCGTTGTTTTTATTTTAGTGAAATTTGTTCGCAGTACTTTCAGTGATAGGATTCCTTCTGCATTTCTAAATGATTTATCAGTCAAGAAAGCATTGTAAAGATCTACTGAACGGGTATGGAACGCACCAAGATATTTTTTTGTATAATATTACAAAAGCAAGATTATAGATACTGATTACATGACCTAGAAGAAAGCTTTAAGTGTACACATGCATACATGGACATTTTATTGATCCCTTTGGCTTGTTTTTTTCTGTTGCCTAGAAGCAGCTTGTGGCACATCCTTAAGTTATGTTGTGCTTAAAACATGATGACATTTAAGAGGGGAAAAACAGTTTTATCTAGTTTAAAAATGAGAATGTATACAGGACCTTTATCCTGTTCTAATTAATAAGGGCTATTTGAATATTTCCTATTTGCAAGAAAATTCCTTCCTGGGTCGACCAATGTTTTGTCTAATCCATTATTCTGTCCTTGATACTGGCAGCAGGAGATGCTATGTAACAGAAGAGATGCAGGGCAGTAATTCAACTGTCTATGCTTGTTCTGCAGCCTCCACCACATAATGGAACAGGGCAGAGATTATTCTTCTTTAGTGTTGGTGGTAGCCTGCTAACCTTTAAACTATTTTTTCATCTTTAGTCTTTTAAGTACCATTTAAATTTCTTTTTGGAAGATCCGAATGTTACATGTAGCTACGTGCAGGTTCACCTGTTACCTGTGCTGAGTTCTCTAATGTCTGGAATGTGATGTGTAGTTGCATCAAATTACAACACAAAACATAACTGTTGTCTTGATAGCTATTAAAAAAAAAAAGTCGGTCTTTGAGGTTGGCTCTTTAAGTTATTGTATGAGCATCACTAGCCATATCATTGCACAAAATAAAAATAAAATGTAGTTTTCTTTCAAGCGATCAAATATCTGCACACTGCTGCTTAAATGTGTGTTTGAGATCTTTGATTCAGAGCCTTTTCAGTCACAATAGTATCCATAAAGGTGCCAACACTCCAGTCCCTTACAGGTGTACATAAAAATGAATACATAGTTCTTGCCTTGGTCAGATGGTTATCAGTGGTTTGTTAAAAGAGGTTTTGAGCTTTTCCGAGCCTTTCTTTGGTTTATCATTCTTCCTCTTTCTTTATATCATCTATGGTTTCTCCACAAGCTGATGGGCTTCAAATTTGACCTTTCATGGGGAACTATTCTCTCATGTAGTAGGCATGAGAGAGAACTATATATTCCTGGCAAATGCTTGATTCTGTAGAAACAATGGCACTTTTCTGAAAGGCAGTTGTTGGCACATGTATTAGTGCAGGAAATCCCACTTAAAATCTCACAGACAATCAGAAGTCAGTGTTGTGTAAGAATGTTTTTGCAAATCTGGAATTCAGGGAGGATGAGACATTTAATTCCTTTCATTATATTTGCACTATATCTTCTACGTAGTTATTTGAGAAAAGTTGGAGCAGCTGTGGGATGTTTCTTTCTTAATCTAGAAGATTTTTGTTCTCTTTTAGCAAGCTTTAGAGAACAGTGGGTTGTCTTCGATTCCCGTCTCTGCACATTCTACTGACTGCAGCCAGGCTAAGACTCCTGGGGCCCAGGATCAGAACCCAGACGTCCAGACTCTCTCAAATCATCAGGCTGACTCTAATGCAGAACAAGATAAGGAGCAAGAGAGTACAGATAAACTGGATAAAAAAGAAAAAAAGGTTATTAAGAAAAAATCACCGTTTTTACCTGGTAATGTTGCCACTGCTTGCTACCTTTTGTGCTGTAAGGACTACAGTATTTGTGGGTGTGTTGATGGCTTTATAAAGGGATTTCCCAAAATGTATTGTGGATCAGTTACAAACTTCATCTACTTTTATCTAAAAAACAGTATGTGTGTAAGTTGTGATAGTAGCATTTATAACTTTCATTATACTGATACTAAAACGTGTCAGAATGGCTTTAAGTGAAGTTACACTGTTAAATCTTCTGGATTTAGATCAGTGGAGTTTTTGGAGGAGGACAAAAAAGAAAGAATATGAATCTTTTTCCCTCTTTTTCCCGTCATCCTTGGGATTTCATGGTGTGACCAGGAGCAGAGAGTTCTTGCAAGCTCTACTCTTCCTCTTTGGAAGTGAGGCCTTACAGAGGCAGAAGTGCATGAGTGCTGCTGCCTCATGCAGATTTTCACTGATCTAGGCCATTTAGGGAAGGATGAAGGTTGGCATTGTGGATAATACTTCATGTCACCTGTGTTTGGAATCACAGTACTGATTTGATATTGTCACCATAAATGCATGTTAATATTCCACCTCCTTGCTGTATTGTATGTATGCAAGTCTGGATTTTGTCTCTGTATTTGCTTAAATGCAACTTTAGTGTTAACGTTAACACTAAGCTTAGTTAACCGTAAGCTTTAAGGTTGCTAGGAGTGGTTTGTTCCGAGTATAGCCATCATACTTTAATGGCTGTCCTGGTGGAGACAGTTCTGTAATAAGCAGTCATTGAGCTTTGTTCATAGTAACGTCATAGATACATTGATGTTGCTTTTTTCTTTGCAAGGGATGCAGAAATTGATCCAAAGTTGAAAACGCATCTTCTCCAGCATAACTGTGCTAAAAATCAACATTAACTCTTTCCTCTGGTAATAATAACTATTTTGTTCCTTGGGTGCAACAGTAACAACTCTCTAACTCTGACTGCAAATAAAAAATAAAAGGTCCCTGCTCTACAGTCAAACATGATCACCTTTATTTTTTGATAAAATAACATAACCTCAGTGTATTCACATGGTTTACAGAAAAAAACGCTACATGAATGGATTTAAACAAGCGAATATATGATACTGGACAGCATATATGAATAAAAAACCCTGATAAGATTTAGAAGCTTCTTTTGTCATTTTTGTTGAGAAAAGGTATGCTGTGACTTTAGGACAGAGCTTAGCGTTCTTGGATCATAAAACAACTTACGTGAAAAAGTAGCCTTAAACTGTAAATCGTTCAGAAGGACATTTTACGGAATTTTTGCTCCTTTAAAAATTTATAAATTGTAATTTAAGTCTGAATTTGCAGAAGAGAGGGCCGTATAAAGTATCTCATCCAGTTAGTTAGATAAGTGTTTAGTACTTAAAGTAATTTGCTGTTATAGTTGAGGAGTTATATTCATTGTTGGATAATTTTGTGTTAGATATGGTATTTATAAGTTAACTGGTATATTATATTGCATTACACCTACATTCCGTATTTCTAGGTGGCATACAAATTGCATTCTTTTTATTCTGTGAAGTCAGACATTTCTTAGCTTTTTTTTTTTTTTTTTTTTTATCTTCTTCCTTTTAAAAAGGAAGTAGCATAAAAATGTTTGAATTTCAACAGGATTCTCTTGGGTTTTGTTTTTGTCATTCCAGCCCATTACTATTTTTGTGAAGTAGAATGTATCTGATAGAGAAGTTAAGTGTCTACCAAGTGTTTTGTAATGGCATCTATTTCACAAAATGTTTTTGTGTTTTGATTGCTTTGTATAATGGGGTCAGTGTAGTGGAATTTTTGAAGAACTGTTAAAATGTTTCAAACATTCATTTTGATGTTGTTCCATATTTTAGGTTCTATACGTGAAGAAAATGGAATAAGGTGGCATGTTTGTCCATATTGCTCTAAAGAATTTAAAAAACCAAGTGATCTAGTGCGCCACATTCGCATTCATACCCATGAGAAGCCGTTCAAGTGTCCCCAGTGTTTCCGCGCCTTTGCTGTTAAGAGTACTCTCACAGCACACATAAAAACACATACTGGCATTAAAGCTTTCAAGTGCCAATTTTGTATGAAATGCTTTTCCACCTCAGGGAGTTTAAAAGTTCACATTCGTCTACATACAGGTAAGGCCTCAAAATTGCTTTGGTGTTTTCTATGATGTGGGTGGGACCTAAATTGAAAAAAGACAATGTGAAGTGCTTAAATTGTAGAGATGTCTATCATGTCATTGGTATCTATCAGAGAATGAACTGGTTTTAGTGTCTTATATGATGAACTTAAATTTTTGTCATAGCTTTCTAGTGTTTCATGGCTTTGGAACTTTGTTTGGGCTCTTACAAAAGCCATGGACATTTAGTTTTCTGATGATGACTCAGCTGTTGCTCCTTTTTGATACCGCTATTGTGAGTGTATTTAATTGTGCTTTCTAAAGAGTCATACTCTTAGAATTTGAGTTCTGATTTTACATATCCCCAGTCATTTTTCACATTTACTCTGCATCTTTTCTTTCCTCCCCTGCCCCACACTTTTTGATAATTTCACTGTATCACTCAGGACTATTTGGTTACTTCCTGTTTTATCTTCAACAAGAAGGTGTTGCTTGGTGTTTTCACCAACTTACCTGTTTTCGGTATCTTACACTGCATACCCTAAAACTCCTCTGTTCATATGGTTCTTGTTTACATCATACATGATGTCTTCAATACCTGGTTTTCTGTGGCTGAACTTCTATCCTCTGCATAGAGAAAAATGAATTCTTCACTCTTGGTGGACTACCTGGTTGTTTTCCACTTTTCTTTCTTTGTTCTTGCAGGTAAATAAGCTTTCAGCAAGATAAGCTTGTAAATGTGCTGTTCTTTCCTTTCACTCCTGTTTATGTATTTACATTCTGCAAAAGTATCATTCATTGGCTATGTGCATTTGGTGTTCAATATGTTTTATGGTCAGATGCCTTTAATCCATAAAATATCAATGTTGGATTCATCTGCAGAAAGTTTTTCACTTTGTTTTTTGTAAACTTGTAAACCAGTATTTTTTCTGTTACTTTAAAGTCAACCTTACTTTATTTAAGAACTCAGACTCATTCAAAGTGCCAAAAGCACTAGGTGGCTTGAAAAATAGGTAGTCCAGTGTTTATGGAACTCCAGTGTGTAGTTAGCCATCATTCAGCACACTTGTTTTTCCTGTCAGAGATGTTTGCTTCTTCCTCTGTCTAGCAGGTTAGGCTTACCGGATCAGGTTAGAGGTTCATCCAGCCCCGTATGCTGTCTCTGATGGCAACGTGTGGAAAAGGGGAAGCCTACAGTAATGCTTCTTAGCAGCGTACAACTAGCTTCTGTTAATCTTTGGGTTGAGGGCTTTATGAAGCAGGCTGTACCTCTGCAAAAAGCAGCACTTCGTAGATTTTTTTTGTTCCAAAGAACTTAGCTAATCGATTTTGAACCCATGTGAACTTACTACTAGAACAACCTAACATAATGAATTCAAACGTTGAGCTACATGTTGAGTAAAATACTTTCTGTTGCTTTAAATATTCTGCTTAGTAGTTTCATACGATGTTTTAGTTACTGTATTGTGAAGAATAGTTCATTCTTATTTCTTGTACATTTTTTCCACCTGTGATTTTATAGAGCTTTCTTCATAATACCCAGTCATGTTTCCTAGCCTTCTAAGTCACAAGATTTTCCCCTTGAACAAAAGCTGAAAGTTCATCAGCTTTGCCTGTCTCTGTAACTTACCAAGTTCTCTAGTATCCTTTCCAAGGACAGATTTCTACCGGATTTTCCACTGCAAAAGTCTTTCTTTAATAATTCCTGTTGGCATGCTTTTTTGACTGCTATTAAACAGCATTGATGTTTTCAGAGACCGATCTAGAATTTCTTTAAACTTTGTCACATCACTGTTCCTCTGTTTTGTCCTATTATATATCATTTGTCTATGTGTTCTCTGATTCTTTTTTCTCACAGTTTTTAATAGTTTGCTTTGGAAGGACATTTGACCTGCGATCTACAATTCTTAGGGTAGCTTCTGGAACCCTTTGAAAATTGCTGTCATTTTTGCATCATCCAGTTTCCTGATAACAAGCTTGCTTAAAGTGATGTGTTACAACCAGTTAGTAGTTCAGCAGTTTCATAACTTACTTTTGATTGGATTTTATGGATCTGTTTTGAAAACCTATTTAACAATAAACACACTGATAGAAAACAAAAAAGAAAATACAGAAAAGATAATCTGTATTCCAAAGCTACATTTCTAGGGCAGTGGAAATAAAATCACAAACTAATATTTTTTTTAATCTTTTGCAGGTGTTAGGCCTTTTGCTTGTCCTCACTGTGATAAAAAGTTTAGAACATCGGGCCACCGGAAGACTCATATTGCTTCACATTTTAAACATACTGAACTAAGAAAGCTGCGACATCAACGTAAACCTGCAAAAGTTCGAGTAGGAAAGACGAGTGTTCCAGTACCAGATATTCCTTTGCAAGAGCCCATACTCATAACTGATTTAGGTAAAGAGCAAGTAAATCCATGTTCTCTTGACATTTGGATTTCGCTGGAAAATAGAGGTCACAGTTTAATCAAGCAAACACATTGAGAGCTTACTCAGAAAGATGCACTTTGAAATAATCAGAAATATTCGGAACATCAGAAATAATCAGGCTTTGGAAAAGTGTCATATTTTATAGTTTGCTTGCACTAGAATTAGTAAGAGTCTTTTTTATTTACAGAGAAATCGTATAATCCTTACCAGAGAAAAAGCGTATGCATTTTCACATTACATTAGGAGAGGAGTTTAATTTAACTATTGTTAAACTGTTGGTATAGAAAAGATGACAGACAGTTCATGACCTAGATTCTTCTTGAGATGATCATGTTTATTCAAATTACATACATTAATGAGTTGGTGTGTTATAAGATTTTAGTGTATTGGGTATAATTGTGACATCAGCTGAATTAGTGGAATCATTAGTGGTAATATTTCAAAAAAAGGTAGAATAATTCTGGAACATGCTATAGAGAATTCATACAGTTATTTTAATTCTGTTGTAGAATAATTATTACAACATTATGTAAAACCACTTTCTGGAAGAAGGCAAGTTGTTGTACAGCTCGTTCAAGACAATATATATATTTTTGTCCAGTAGAGATCAATGTAGTGGGCAAGGCGTTTACTCTTCATTGTTGTTTGACTCACCAGTCTGCTAACCCCTGCCTTGTCTGTTGTGTAGTCATCTTTATATAGTAGGAGATTATATTGGTAATATCTTGAGCCTAAAATCTTTATCACTCTTTAAAAATCCTTTTGCTTTCACTGCTTCCAAGAATTGCCGTAGGCAAGAGTAGTGGCTATTTTGGTATCAGGTATAAGAAACTTAGATTTTCAGAGTAGCAAGAAAACTGAGCTGACAGCCTCAGATATTCAGATCACACAATATTTCTTTCTTGAGTGAACCCTGGAAACATATGCAGTCCTATTTCTTGATTTTAAAGAAAAAAGCAATCAATTAAGATCTCTGCAGTAAAATCTGTTTTTTGGGAAAAAAAAAAAATTAATAAAAAAGTTGTTTCCTTCAGGTACTGATAACACCTGAACTCTGCTGATATTGGAGTGTAAAATTAAGAAGTTCCACCATTTGTCTAGAAAGTGTCATGTTTTTTTCAACCCAGTGACAATATTTTCACTGTTCCCAGAAAAAAAATCTTGTTTCTTGTAGAGTGTCAAGAAACTAGTATTGTTGCTCTGTACTAGTGTTAATCTTTGAGTGGCACCTTTGATGGGAAAAAAAATTAATAAATGTTGGTATATATTTTACTTTTAAAAAAGTCTAAATTACTCTCAAAGTCTATAAAAAAAGTCTGCAAATTGTTCTCTACCTGTTACAATGTTTGTTTCATTTTATTCCAGTTGTTGATGGTATGTATTGACTAGGAATTGTAAAAAATTATTGTAATTTTTCTAGCCTATACTGTGGTTCCAAAGATGGAACTGATGGGAGGAAAAGTATCTTTTTATAGAACTCAGAACTATTTTGCTGACTTGCTATATCCAGTGTAGAGCCACCTTTATCTATTCTAACAGTTTGGAAAAATGTTTAATTTATCAAAGTTGAACAGTTGAGTAAATAGTTTGGAAGTGTTTTATTGGGAATTTCTGTTATTTCTGTTCTGTTACGTATGTTATTAGGAATTTCTGCAAACCAGAACCATTGTAACCTGGGATATGCTCACAAGTTAGTCAGCTGTCATTCATTAACTGAATTATTCTGCTTTTATATGATCAAAAATAACTGAAAGTAAATATTTGTCATATGGAGTTCCTTCTCTTCTGATTTCAAAGGCTTGTGTCATCTCCATAGTAGCAGTGTCATGAACACTACTACTAATTATCATCACAGAAGGATGCCAGAAGGAATTTAGAAAGTAGGGTTATGGGTTTGGTTTTGGTGGGGGTTTTGATTTGGTTTTTTGGGGGATTTTTTGGTGGGGTTTTGGTTTTTGTTTTTGTTTTAAGATAAAATGTTTTTACTAGACCAACTGAGTTAGGGAAGGTGAAGGAAGTTTTGGCATATATATATAATTATAAATATATATGAATAACATACATATATATACATAAACTTTTTCAAGTCTGAGACGGAGAAACTTACTCTTTTTTCATTGTTGCCATCTCTTCTCAAAATTGAGAGAATTCCCTCTCCTTGTTTTCTGCTCTTTTCAATTACATTTGGAAGTCAGCAGAAACACTTCAGGCTTTCCTTTCTGAATATGAAATGTAGCATGCTAGATGAAGCAGTCTGAAGAAAGAAAAGACGACATAAAAGGCTGTTGTGGTAAATATTTAGGACCATAAAGGGATCTTTTGCATATTTGTTGAATCTTCGCCTTGTGTATTAGTATTGTGATGAGTACTTTTGAGTTCACAGATATGTGAATGATGATGAGGTTTTTTTTCACTTGAGAAGTCTACTGCTGTTCCCATTCTGTCACAGTGTTTGGGATGATGCCCTTCTGTTGGCTGCTTCTGAGACAGCATACTCTTGCATTAGCAGTTGGACATATAGCAGCAGGAACTTTTAACTGATTTTCCAAAACAACAGGGAACAGTCTATAAAGGGCATTTGTTTAAATAAGTTGGTTTGAGGTTTGGGGCTTTTTTCCCAATAAATTTTTGGAGGTACCCAGAGAATTAGCAAGACTGACTGATTAGCCCAAGTAGATGATGTACAAATACAATAATTTTAATGGACTTCTTTTATCCTTTAAGTAAAGGAAATACATATCTTCATACATAATCATTTTCACAAAATGCATATTAAATATTTGTCAAGTTATAATGTATATCTGGGGTACAGTGTTTAAATGTCACTTGGTTAAGGTGGAGGTTGGAAGAGCAAAATATTATTTGATTAGCAGTGAATTAACTTTTTTTAAAGTTAATGCTTTTTTTGAACATAGGTGAGGTTTAATGTAATGAGGTGGACCTATGGATAAAAGAAGAGCTATCACTAAAATAGATAGCATGTGCAATATAATGTGTATAATGCTAAATAGATGCATGCATAATTTTAAATAAGTGCTGAAAACATGCTCATTTTCTTTACATTCTTGCATACTAAAAGTCACTTTTTTTTCCAAATACTGGCTCTTCAGGCTACTGCAACTTTGGAATAACTTTACCAATTAATTTTTCCTTTTTGTGTGTGTTTATGTGTGCAGGTCTTATCCAGCCAATCCCAAGGAATAGCCAGTTCTTCCAAAATTATTTTAACAATAATTTTGTGAATGATGCAGACAGACCATACAAATGTTTTTATTGCCATCGAGCCTATAAAAAATCTTGTCATCTTAAACAACACATCAGGTAAAATAATACAAAGAAGAAAGGAAATGCATGTAATAATAAATTTATGGAAAAGCATGACATTTATATAGTGTTCGCTGAAAAGACTTCTTTTTTTACCATCTCTGAGTAGTGAACCAGTGATAATTGATTTTTCTGGTAAAGTTAGAGGAGATTTTGGGCTAATTCATACCTATGTGCAGTCCTAGCAATAGAAGTGGTTGCGTTTAGCGTGCAGTTTAGCTTACTAACACTCAGACTCTTTTTCCCTAAACTATAGAAAATATAGAAAAGTATAGAAAATAGCCAGCATTGTATGTGAATTCTTGTCATAATTTTGTAATTGCATACTCCAGATCATCTGCTTTGTATGTAACTGCTATTTTTTGGGAAGGAAATCAGCTTTTTGTTCTGTGTGCTGTTTTCTGTGTACTAAACCTAAAAGAATTCAGGGTTACATTATAATCGAGTAAACGTTCTTGGGGATCATTTTTTTCCTTGAAGTTTAGTTCAAGTTCCATATAGTAGGTGTTTGTTACTCCATGACCTTGTGGTTGTAACAGGAAAAATTTAGGTTGGAGGGGGACCAGTGGAGGTAACTAACCCAACCTTGTTTTCAAAAGAAAGGCTAGCTTCAAAGTTAGATTGGGTTGCAGTTTTACAGGCAGTGAGCTTTGACATTTAGTTGAATTATCAAACATTACTCCCTGATTTATAAACTAGGAGTAACTGGAGGAGAAAATATGAAAAAAACCCACGAAAGATCATTACTAGGATCTAAGGAAATTTTCCAAAGAAGCAGGTGGCAACCTGCTTGTTTCTGCAGTGTAAGCTCTGTACCACTTTCCCACTGTTTCTAATTCAAATCGTGGTGAGTTCCTCATGTTCTCCTTACAAATCAAGTTCTGCATTGATAGGTTCTCAAACTGGCTCGAAACAGTTCTTGGTTTCTATATGCTGTCTTAACGGGAGGGGAGGAAGTCTTGCAGTATCACATCTTTTCCTTTTGTGATATTCTACCTAGATTTCTCACTGTCTTTTGTAGACACAATCAAGCTGGATTGATTTAAATCCAAATAATTTTAAATTAGTAAATGTTGCTGGTCTGCATCATTACTGTCTTCATTGAACTAGTTGATTTAGGGACATGGTTTAGTGGGTATGGTAGTGTTGGGTTGACGGTTGGACTCGATGATCTCAGAGGTCTTTTCCAACCTTAATGATTCTATGATTCTATTTTAATTGTGTTTCACACTTGTCTCTATTTTCTTAAAGAGAGTGTAACTGTCAGTGGTTAGTTACCATTAAAATGTTAGTTGCCACTAAAGAGGGCCTTATCTGCCTAAAGATGGCCTTATGTAGCCTAAATATAAGCTAAACTTAGGCATATTTTACTGAAGCATTTATGTAGTTTACAGTTTTATTTACATTCATATTTTTTCATCTTTCATTTGTGTTAGAGAAATGTAGTTGACTGATTTGCCTAGTTCATTTTTCTTTTTCACAGTTTTGTCAGGATCCTTTGAATAAAAATGAAAGTGTTTTAATTACACAGAACATGAACAGCTTATTAGTTAAACAATTGGTTTACATGCACTAAATACAATTTTTTTTTTTCTTGTCAGAATACATTTTTTGTTTGAAAATTCTGTTCTTCAAATGCCTGTGCTTGAATTAATTCTGCTGTTGGGTATACACATGCTCCAGCTCAGGATAAACTATCTTTAAAAGCCTCATTACTTATTATGTGCATCTTTCTTTTTCTTCTCCCATACTGAAAATACAAAGATTTGATGGGAGTACCAATCACTTGCCACTGTGTTTCTTTCTGATTGATCTTTGCAACAGAGTACTGAGTGAAGCTTAGCTTGGCTTGGCTTTATTCGGGGTTTTGTAAAAGAATTGGAAACTTTTCTCTTTTTCCATGTTTGTAAATTGGTATTGCTATACCTAAACTACTAGACTTGACACTTGTGTGGTCAATCTGTTTTCACGGAATGATGCTGATCATTGCTTAGAAAGCTTGTTTCCCTCTCTGAAACCTAGGGAAATTTGTAGTAGGGGTATTTTCAGTAGAGCAGTGACTGAATAGTGTGTCAGGTTCTCCCACAGGCACACCAAGGAAGGGTTGGGATACCCTACCGCTGATTTCCATAGATGTATGTTGGTGGGAAAAAAGTAATCTTGCTATCTGTCACACTTCTTTATTATGGCATCTGATGTGCTCGTCATAGACTTCTAAGGCTACTGTAATCATAAGCCATCCCTAACTTTTCCCAATTTTGGTAAAGCCTGCTTCCTTTATCTTCCATTTCCTAGCATTCACATTGCCTTCCTCCTAGCTCTCACTCCTGGGATGCTAGAGTTGTAACCCTTAAAATTCCCATTGCACTCCACTTCCTAACCTGTCCTTCAGTTTGTTTTATATCTCGATATAGTCCTAAAAGGAAACTCCTCTAGCACCTCTGGAAGGAAGGATATAGTGAGTGGCATGTGGTGATAGTATTAGGTGAGAGGGTTTCCCCCCTTGAATATTGTTTTCGCATAGCAGTCTGAAAGACTAGTTGTACTTGTGTTGTGCCTTGTTCAGGGGGTATTCAGGGTGGACACAGTTCTTTTCCCAAAAGTTTTGTTATTAAACATAGTAGTAGTATATAATACTAGTAGATAATACTATATACGGAGGCCCGTATATTTTTCTCCAAACTTTTGTGGACATTGTTTTAGCTGAATTGAGGAAAATACATGTGAATGATAATATACTAGTCTGAAGAACTAGTATATTATCTGGCATGGAAAAATTCAACCCAAATGTTTTAATTGAGGCAAAGTATGATCAGAAAAGGAGATTGGACTGTAGAATATAATTAAAACTGTCAGACAGTATTGCTTCTAGCCCTGCCAGTGATGACATGCGGGTTGTTTATAATTTATTAAAGCTTTAATTTATGGATTTTGTTAACTGAGGCCTTTTCCATCCGTACAGCAATCGTCACAGTTTGGTTTATTTTGCTCATTTTAAAATGTAGTTTTTTGATAACTCTGTAAATCAAACTGTTAAGTCTACTTTAACTTCTGCTTTCTCTTAAACAGGTCACATACTGGTGAAAAGCCATTTAAGTGCTCTCAGTGTGGAAGAGGTTTTGTGTCAGCTGGAGTTCTGAAAGCACATATTAGAACACACACTGGATTGAAAGCTTTTAAGTGTCTTATATGCAACGGGGCCTTCACTACTGGTGGTAGCCTCAGGCGACATATGGGGATCCATAATGACCTTCGACCGTATATGTGTCCGTATTGTCAAAAAACATTCAAAACATCACTAAACTGTAAAAAACACATGAAGACTCATAGGTATGTTTACAGTTTTTATATGAATCTTTCAGTGTATTTCAGTAGCCCTTCCTTAAAGATACTTGGAAAGGCAGCTTTGCTCTTTAGCAAATGCTAATAATTGAATAAGGAAGTTTATTTACGGGTAGCAAATACTTAGGTAGCTCTGAAGGTATAGTAAATTATGGTGTATAATAAAACAAAAATCTGTTCCGATAACTGTCCGACTGAAGCCACAAAAAGACCTTCTTACCCTTCTTTGCAGATATGAACTTGCACAGCAACTTCAGCAGCATCAGCAGTCTGCTTCAATAGATGATTCTACAGTAGACCAGCAGAGCATTCATGTTTCTACACAGATGCAAGTGGAGATTGAAAGTGATGAGCTACAGCAGTCAGAAGCTGTTGCAACAGATCAGCAGGCTATTTTAGAGTTAGACCAGCAGCCAGTAGTAGGCACAGAAGAAACAGCACTAGAACAACAATTGGCTGATCAGCCTTTAGAGCAAGATGAGGGTGAGTATTTGAAATATGATAAGGTTTATAATGAGGTAAGCTTACAAGTTCTCAAATAACTTTTTAATCACAAATTTCAATTATTTGAGTTTCAAGACAATGCAAGTAAACAACTAGAAAAATACATGGAGTAAAAGCTAACTACTTAAAGTATATTGTACAATTTCTTTCACTCATTGGTGTTTAGGTTTACTGTTAAAAATATAAAAATTTGCACCATTTAGTGGTATCAAACAAAACTACTAAACAAATATAGAGAAAAGTAATACTATGTACAGAAAACTTTACCATATCACCTCTATTATTAACAAAAAACACTGCTATAGAGCCTACTTAGGAAGTAATACTTGTGTTTTGAGGTGGGAGAATACAAAATATTTCATATACTTATTCTATTAGTAGTAGTGGAACAAAGTATTTTGTTTTTGCTTATTTGCTCTTTTTCATGGTTTAATGAGTTAGCAAGTAAAATAAAGCCTACAGTAAGCAAAGATTTAAATACCTATTCAGCTAATAATTTTTTATTTATTTTTAATGTGGTAAAAATTCAGATGACTATAAAATGTAGGTTTTTGGGAACAACTGAATTATCCAGTTAAGTACATCTTCTTTTCTTGATATTTTTTCCTTTCCTTTTTTTTTTCTTTTTCTTTTTTCCTCCTCTTCCTTTCCCTATTTCAGATAGATTTGTGACATCCCAGCATGCTTTACAGGAAAACATCACTCAGTTTGAACAACAAGCTATAACACAGCAGCCCTTTGATCAACAGGGCTTATCACAAGGTTAGTAATAAAGGTTTTTAAAGTGATTTTATAAATCTGGCTTTACAGCATAGCTATCATAAAGCATTTCAAAAATGGACATCCACAGTCAAAGTAACTGCAATGCAGAGAACTTGCAAAAACTTCTTCTTAAATTACTATTTTGAAACTATATTTGGTAGAATATTTTGAATACTTAAATATAAATAGATTTTGCTTTTATGAGCCGATGTTTAGTCATTACAGTATGTGGTTTATAGTCAGGCATTTCATATTCTTTCCCTGACTGTGTTTGAAATTGCTGTGGCAGTAGGCAGTTTACACAACTTTCCCCCTAAATATAGAGCCTCGTAACCTGAGATGATCAGAAATGCGGCATAAGATTTGACTGAGTAGCTGTTGGGATTTATTATGGAAAAAGACAGTGCAAAATATAATCATGTAAAAAGCATACTTTCACCTAACCAAAGCAGTTTCCTTTTGTATTTTATAAAGCTACATAAGTAACAAATTAAGAGATTGTAAACATTTGGAAACGTTTTTGGTTTTGTTTTTGTTTTTTTAACTTACAAAATACTGAGAAACGTGTGTAAGGCTTATGTAGCCTGCAGAGAATGAAGAAATGACTGCGTTCCTATGCTTTTCACTGCTGGATTTCTTGAGTTGTTGCTTGATATGAAGCTACTAGTTTTGGGTTTTTTGGTTTGGTTTTTTTTT